CATTTCCCTTGTTTCCATCAATACCTCAGAGTTGAATAAGAGTTTTGTCCCACTCCTGTTTAGAGTGGGCCAAAATTCTTAGGTTTGCAGACATTTATTTAAAAACAGCTCTCTGAAATTCCCACCAAATGTCTCAGTCAGGCTGAGGTTTGGACTTTGGAAAATTGATGATTTTTGCTTTTTCAGCCATTCTGTTGTAGATTTGATTTGGTCCATGTTCCAGCACGGTCCAAGCTTCAGCTGTCGGACGGCTTCACATTCCACCAAACACAGAAAACTTCATCAGCTCAGTGACTGCAAAGCCCACATCATCACCATTCCACCTCTCTGCTTGATAGTTAATGCGAGGCATCTGTGCTTGATGTGTTGGGTTTAGTTTCCACCATAGATGGTGGTGTGCTTTATGGCCAAACATCTTTACTTTACTGTAGTTTAATCTGGCCAAAGCATGTTGTCCCACAAGTCCTGTGATTCAGATGAAACCAACAAACTGAAGTTGTGCTGCCATGTTCTTTTGTAGAAATTATTCTTTCCCCTGCAGCCCCTTCCAAATAAGATGTGTTTCATAAAACTTTAACCTGATAACTGAATCTGAAATGGAGCTCTTTTTTTTATCATTGCACAGTCTGATCTTGGGGTGAGTTCGCTGGGATGTCCACTCTTGGCAGCTGTTAAATGTTTTCCACTTGTGAAAAGTCTTGCTCAGTGTAAAATGATCTAAGTTTATGTAACATATGCTGGTGTAAAGACTTTTTAAAGATATCTATAATTCCACTTCAAGACAGATTACAATAAATAACAAAATATTGACAAATTTCTTTCAGTGCAGATTCATTTGATCCAAATTTGGTCTAAATCGTTCGAATAACTACAACAAGACAGTTTCAGGAGAAGAACAACCGGATTATTTTATGAGAAAGGCTGTCTGTCAATAAATTCCTTCCAACAGGGCTGCTGCATGAAGGGCCTTTGGGTTTTATTACAGCGTGAAAACATCTGAACTACTCACACAGACCACACAGATCGAACTTTAAAAGAAAAGCTGATGGAAGAAGCAATGAATGAATGAATGAATGTCCAAATTAAAACTTAATTAAATGTATTTCAAGACCTAAAATGAAAAATTGGGACATCTTTAGACTTTTTAAGACCCTGAAACTCTAAATTATGAACCCCAGATTGTTTTGGAAATGTCCTTTTTTAAACCCTTTCCAGATTAACAAGTGGAATCAGTTGTATCTCTAAATTCATTTGTCTTTCCGCCTTGGCATTGTGTTATCGCATGTAAGCATGTTTGCTCCAGAGTCGAAAACTGCTACATCTTCTGCTTTTATGGAGCTGATCAATTATTCAAATGTATTTGGCCACCTGGCCACTTTCCATGATTAATTTTATAATAATAACAATAATAATACTTAATTTGTATAGCACTTTTTTAAACAAATGTTACAAAGTGCTTCACATTAATCAATTAAAACATCATAAATGACACCAGAAACACAAAAGTATACCAAATCAATTAGAATCCATAACGATATAAGAAAAAATTACAATAAAAATACGAAGAAATTCAGATATTAACAGCCTTATTATACAATTAAGTTTTAACTAATGATTTAAAAGAAGACAATGAAGAGGCCTGTCTAATATTAAGAGGAAGAGCATTCCACAAATTAGGAGCCCTGACCATAAAAGCCCTCCCTCCTTCTGTCACCAGTCGAGCTCTGCGAGTGGAAAGTAACAACAGATTTAAGGATCTGAGATTGCAAGAAGGGATATGCGGGTAAGAAGCTCAGATAGATATGATGATGCAAGACCATTCAGGGATTTAAAAACAAACAATAAAATTTTGAAGTCAATTCTAAAAACCACAGGGAGCCAATGCCATGAGGACAGAACAGGAGTGATGTGCTGATATTTATGGGATCTTGTGAGAACGCTGTATTGTTTTGTACTAGATGAAGACGATTAAGAGAACTTTGGGGTAGACCAGAAAATAAAGAATTAATCAAGATGACAGGAGACAAAGGCATGAATAAGAGTTTTTGCATCGGTTAAAGAGATACATTCTCTAATTTTGACAATATTCCTAATTTGAAAAAAAATGCTGTTTTAGTGATGTTCTTAAAATGTTTAGAAAAACTAAGATCAGAATCAAAGGTCACCCCCAAATTTCTGGTTTCACGAGAGCAGTTAAAACCAAGAACATAAAAGGACTGAAATACTAAATCCCTTTTGGCCTTGGGTCCAAACACCATCCCCTCAGTTTTATCGTTGTTGAGTGAAAGAAAGTTATCAGAGGATGGTAAGTTCATTGAGAGCAGAGAGGTCTGATGGGTTAATAGCCTAATAAATCTGGGAATCGTCTGCATAAAATTGAAAAGAGACATTAAATTTATGAATAACCTGACCAAGTGGTAGCATATGAATGGAAAATAACAGTGACCCAAGAATAGACCCTTGGGGGACACCACAGGTGAGAGAAGCTGAACTGGAGCAATTATTGCCAGAAATTAAAGAAGGAGTTCTGTCATGAAGAGAAGATTTGAACCACCTCAGAGCAGACACAATGTGCAATTATGGACGCAGACAGAGAGGGAATTAGTTTGTCACTCACAGCTTTTCAATCTTGGCTTCATTTTCCTTTAATGATAACATGACGAAATCTTAACCACCCGAGGTTAAAATTTTAAAACCTTTTGTAGGCCAGACTGAATGAATACACACAGTTTAAACATCCTAATAGCATTTCTGTTTGTTCTGCACTTTATTTTCAGTATCTTTCTATATTTACACACTGCATATACACACCTCTACTTCCCAAAGCTGCCACAGCTGGCATAGATCTGGGACCTTCTTCAAACAAAATACTTGTAAAAATGATGAAGCAATATTTGTGTAGAAACTTCATTGCTAAGGTGTGGACAAACTGCAACATTACCAATGCCTTCAGCAATGCTCAGGCCACGACTTCTGAAGAATCCCATGAGTGTGACTTTTCTGCTCATGTGTGTACTTGTTCACCACTAAGTGTGTGCAACAATTTCTACTCTTAAAATATAAATGGCTTCCAGAGAGACACAGACTCCAGCACGAAGCTCCCCTGAGTCTCAAACGGAAGAATGGGGTTAATCTCAGAAGGTAATTTGGAGCCTTCGTTTAGATTTTAATATCAAGTTGACCCTGAGCACAAGAGTCCAAAACAGGCAGAGCCTCAGGTTTGAGGGATTTTATCATAATACTGCAATGATTTTAATTGTAGTTGCCTTCAGACTCTGTTTAGGATAATTTATGACCAGAATGCTCTCCTGAGCTATGGGGTGTGTGCAATCTCACACACATCGAGATGCTGACAGGAGTTTTGTAACCCAGCACCAGGTGTTACTAATGAGAGGGCAGGGCAGGTCGAAATACCACGAGTGGCTTTGGATTTTGGCTCAAAACCCTCGTTCACACATCACTTCTGTTGACAGAATCCCAAAGACAGAGGGGGTAGGTGCTGCAAAATAAATGTTCACAAATGCATTAAAACTTTACAACTTTTTACTGTTTATGCAATTCAAGACATTGCAATCCTTGTTATGAATGACTCTCAGCTACTACCATACCAAATTTTAGCTAAGCACAACTATCTTTGTGTAGGCCAAGGTTAATTAGCTGTGACAGTCATCTTAAATCAAACTGATTATGTAATAGATTGATTTTTGAGCAGGCACTCAGGAAGGCTTACTATTTGCAAACAAGAAACATTCATGTCCATAAAAATGGTTTATCCTCTGTTTTATGAGCCAAACAGGAGGGACGTAATGGGTTGATTAGTAGTGTTTTTCAAAGTGGGGACCACGGCCCCTGTGGGGTCGCCAGGGGGCACTAGGGGGGCCCCAGAAAGCTGGAGAGAAGAAGATTAAAAAAAGCAAAAAGAAAAAAATAGTAACAATAGTAATAAAAATTGCCCACTAGAGCAATCTGTATTTGTCATTTCCAGATAAACATGCTTGAGAGAGAAGTTCGATTTCTTTTGTTTTGTTCTTCTGGTCAACAGTTTGTCGAAAAGTTGTTTTTTCCAGTGGGAATATGTTTAAAACATGCTAGTTAATAACTGTAAGGGGAAACAAACATCTCTTATGTCCTCTCCCCCTGCCCGGGTTGTTGCTCGGAAGGAACACACGTTTATGTCAGAATTAAACAACATCTTTAATGTTACAGACTTCAAAATGTGTGAACAAGAGAGAATTGTATATTACCTGACAGATGAGGGGGCCCATACAATACAATTCTGACGTGTATCAAGTCTGTTCCCACATTTATAGATTGTTTTCTCTACCCCGTGACACTTCCTGTTTTAAATTTCTATCCAATCAGTCAGGCACACATTAGCTGTCATCTCTTTCAACTGAGTAAGTGACACATTTCTCTTTCCATTAGACAAATTTTAGCACACACAAACACATAATCTTACAATGACTGCGAGACTCTGATTATCCTTTTGATAACTTATTACCTTATCAAGCTCTACGGTTGTTCTGACCTTTGAAGCTGCTCTTTAACTCATCTTTAATTATTTTATAATCCCCACACATACTCAAATGATGTGAACTATAATCTAACTTTATAGTTTGGTTATTTAACTGAACAAGAACCTGTGAGTTGTTTTGTTTTCTCATTAAAGGCCTTATAAGGAACTATTTTCCTACTGACAGCAGAAAGTGTCATGGTTGATTTTAAAAGTTAGCAGTCACTAAAAATATATTATTTATCAGCTTATGGCCTAGATTGCACAGATATTCTAGTCATCTTTATATGATCTATGTTCCATAATTCATAACTAAACCTTATATTCACCAACCCATATTATTAGGGGTGCACTGATTGCAGTTTTCTGGCCAATCACCGATCACGATTTCTAAAAAGTCTGATCTGCCGATTCCAGTTTTGGTCGATACTGATTTTATTTTATAAGCGACACCGTCAGGTGTTATAAGGTCGCAATGCATCTTCAATTTTCCAATATTATTTTATTGAAAAACATACCCTTGAACAATTTCCTAGAAATAATACAAACTTGTTTTAACTGACCATGAGGTAATTCTCTGAAATATAAAGGAAGTTCAGATAATTGTTGCTAAAACAAACAAAAAAATCGGTAAAATCGGTTTCTCATGCAAGTATCGTCCGATTTCCGATTTCCCAAAATTAAGGAAATCGGTGCCCCTACATATTATGTTATGTTCCACAATTTATCATCAAAGGTTATTTTATTCCTAACATAACATTTTCATGCTCGGCAGCTGTAATTATTAATTGAATATAGTGAATAAAAGTTGAAACGTTCTAAAAGTTGATGGTTCTTTATATATTTTGTAGCATTATTTGTAGGTTTGCGAGCAGGGCCTTGGTCAGAAGCTAATGCTGTTTGTGGGGGGGTCATAAGGAAATGTTTGGGAACCCCTGGATTAGTGAACTTTAAATGAGCTTAGGGACTGTGTTGAATATTTAACAGACCGTTCTGAATATTTCACTTCACATGGCAAAAATATTAGCAAAGCCTTCGTTGGGGGAAAAGTCCTGAATGTCTTTAGCAGGTGTAGCAAAGCGCATGGAAAGAACCAGGCGTAATGAAAGACTTTTTGTGCATGCAGACACAAAGAAACAAAAGGGGGGGCAGAAGCAGGGGTGTTACGTTTCAGAAACTACCAACAAACAAGTTCCTCAAAACTTTTGTTTAAGGAGAAGATAATGAGCCGTGTTAACGTGAGCGCTCAGTGACAGATGAGAGTTTAGACAAGCATGAAGCGTGAAGAAACGCTCGTGATAAAGATTTCTGAATATTATATAGTGACTATAACTCTGTCAGTTTTACAGATATTGAGCTAACATTTCACATGGTAGTAGCTGAGAGTCATTCACTACACATATTTTTAGGTCACGCTGAATCAAACGAGATTGTGCAGGATGTTTTTTTGAAGTGGGCGGACTACCTGCAACCCTTCAAGGCCCTTTCTTTGGAGGGATTTTATACATGACCCTGTATGCGTGCAGACGTGCCTCTCAGTTTCCCCCCCATTTTCTCTCAAACCACATCTGGCAGCTTTATAAACTACATGCTGACATCTGATTACACAAGTCAAATGGAGTTCGGAGCTCCTCCAGTTTCAGCTACACAAGCCGTAAGAAGAAATACAGAATAACCGCGGCTGAATGAGGAGAAGCTTTCAACCCACTGGGACATGCGGGCAATAACAAGAACACAAAATGTTGTTTTGGAACAAAAAAAAAATAGGAGTTTGTCAGGACCTGACAATGAAATTGGATAAGAGCGAGAGCAGCTGATAACATCTGCCTGAGGGTAAGAGGGTAAACTGGTGTGAAGGGACGATGTGTCCGTACAAGTCAGACAGGAAAGGTTTGCTTAGGGGGGTGGGAATGCTGCAAGAAATAAATCCATTCTCCAATAATCCTGCTTTAACTTTAACATAAAATAATGTAGACACTTAGATTTTAGGAACTTATAAAAAGGAACAAAAGGGTATGCAATGATTTTGTCTGCAGTGATTTTCCTTCCTAATGATGCCCTGTCATGAGTGTCTCGCTCTGCCTGTCGGGACCTGCTTCTTTGTTTTCTAAGCTACAGGAATGCCTGGTTGACTGATGGCTGCCTCATCCATTAAGTCCAGAGGAAGACTTGATGAAACAAGGGATCATGAAAAAACACCAAGAATCCAGTTTCCTGCCTCAGCTCAGCTTTAGACCAGCGATGGCTCAGACTAACGGATTGATTTGGTCAGAGCAGGCGCCTACCTGTAAGCTCATCCCCCTGGCATCCAGGCTCTCGTAACAGCAAGAGAAGAGCACAAACCGATCCCAGGACAGAAGCTTTGGAGGGAAACAGTTACAAATCAGAGTTGTTATGGGAGCAAGTCCCGATTGAGCCCCCACATAAAGAAGCACAAATTGGGGCTCCAGTCACTTACCTCTCATTCCAGCAGCCTCAGTTTCAGAGAACTGTCATTCCAGCTCATAAAACTGTGAGGGGGGAACGTGCAGCAGTCCAGGCTCGGCAGGAGATGAAGGGCTGGAACAGGAGATCTGGAGTGACAAGGCAGCAGGACAGGCCGGTCAGCAGGTTTCCCACCCTCGTTTCTGAGAGCTGCAGCTCTGCTACAATGAGCCCTCACCTCCCATCAGATGGGAAAAGGGGAGAAAGTGGGAAGGAGGTTCCAGCCAAATGCAGCTCTGCAGCTTTATCGCCTCCTGCTGGGTCCGTGTCAGGACTGGGACAGAAATGTTCCCCAGTCTTCACATTCAAACATAAAAACCTAAATGCATCATCACCCACCGCCAGAAAGGTGACGTAGGACAATTTTTTTTGTTAGCAAAATATCTCATGGACCACTGGGCAGAATTTAATAAAACTTTAAGAAAGTAAAGCAGATTAACTTTTAGAGATGACACCAGTTACTCATCATTGGATATGCCAGTTAATTTAATAGCTAATAATAATAATAATAACATTCTGTCATTTTTAAATGGTCTTATTCTGAAAATTTGGTGCATTTCTTCAAGAAAGACTTAGCTTTTGGTTTTAATATTTGAATACAATCTAGATCTGACTTTGAACACCATTTGAGGTAAATTTGAGAACTTTATTGTGAAAAACAAATGCAGACACGTTCCTGTTTTTAGTTTTCAACACCGCCTTATAATCTGTTTGTTTTTTCCCACTACTTTTCTTTTTGACTGTCCTTTGGCTGCTATTTTGCTTTGATTTGTGGAAAGAAAAAAAAAATTTAATGCCTCTTTTGTGGCGGTCTATTGTTGTTATTCACTGTTGTCATCACTCTTTGTTAAAGAAATTAGGTCGCTGTTGTAAATGAGTCTCTGAGGCTGAATGGGATTAACCTGTATAAATAAAGGTTGAATGAATTAACTTTATTTTGAAAAGTAAACAGCTCAAATGTTTCTACTAAACCACATCAACAATGCAGAGTGAAACTCAACTCATCAGTATCCTGATGCATGCTCAATAATCCAGGTAGAAAAATCTAAAAAAGTTCAATCTGGTCCTCTGGACATTCAAAAAAACAAAACAAAGCAAAACAACAAGAAAAAATGTAGAAACGTTTCATCTCTCATCAGAGAGACTTCCTCAGTCTGAGGTGCTGTTTTCAGCTCAGTCTCTTAAATAGCACCTTCTCAGAGTGGATCAACCAGTTTTGCTGCTGACAACCAAAACCAGCTGATCACATGCTCAAGAAGGACCATCAGCCTAACAATGGATCATTAGCACACTGATGGCTGTTTACTGTTCACAGAGGGCTGAGTGATACTAGCAATCACAGCATTGTAAGAGGGGGACAGTTGAACACGGAGGCCTCCACCCCTGTTTAATGATGGACGATTTCTTTTCACAAAGATGGCCTCCTTTACTCTTCTCTCAAACCATCGTTCCTCTCTGTCCAGGATGTGAACATCTTCATCCCTGAAAGAGTGACCGCTGGCCTGGAGATGAGTGTAGACCGCAGAGTCCTGGCCTGATGATCTTCTGTGCTGGTCCATCCTTTTGGCCAGTGGCTGTTTAGTTTCCCCGATGTAAGACTGATCACAGCCCTCCTGACACTGAACAGTGTACTGTACTCACTGTACGAAATGTTTCGACATTTTTTTTTGTTTGTTTTGTTTTTTGAATGTCCAGAGGACCAGATTTACCTTTTTTTAGATCAACTCATCAGTGGTACTTAAGAGGAATAAATTCCAATTTAAAGGTGCAGAAAGGTGAAAACGTCCTCCTGAGTGTGGAGGAGGGTTTCTGGCAGAACATGGAGAAAGCTGAAGATAACTCAGTGGAATGCTACTGCTTATCTGTGACTGAAACCAGACTGGTGGTTGAGGTCACAGGTCAGATCTTCACATAATTTAGAAAACAAATTTGCAGGAAAAATGAGCCGACAGAGAAACTCAAGTCATGAAGCACAGATAGACCACAAAGGCTTGTTCTTCTTTGAGTGGAAAATGAGACGTCAGACTAAAGTCACAGAGTGGAATGACTTTAATCTGAATTTTAACTCAATAAGTGAGGTTTTAATCTGTTATGACTAAATTTTTTCCCAGCTGAAGCCATAAGTTTGTAAACTTAGTCATCTGAGCATTGTTTGGTGCCTTATAAATATTTGTTTTGTTGCTAAGGAAGTTTTGAAGCCACTTCATACTCGAGCTGTGTTTTATCAAGTTGTGTAAACAGGAGCTCAGTAAACTCGAGTCAAATTTCCAAACTGGCCAACTCGTTATTCCTCAACTTGAGATTTTATTAAAGCTCTGGCACGAACTGGTGGCGTTTTACAGCTGCTGGTTTTACAGAATGTGGAAACAGTGAGTTTGATTTGTCTGTGGCGTTTAAGAAAATCTTCAACCTTTCATCGATGGTTTCAAATTTATCAAAACGTTAACGTGCTCCATCGTCAAGTTTTGCAGTAATCAATCCTTTTAAGTTTAAATTATTGAATTCATTTTTACAAGAACTGGGTTTAACTTCAACCAACTTCACGAAGAACTGGTTTCTGTTCCCTTACTCAGAACAGTGGATATTTCTGATTGTTTTTTTCTGAAAAGCTTTACTTTGATCATTTGTTCACTGAAGTGTCACTTTGGTGGTGAACGTATAGAGCTATCTGTGGATAAAAGTGAGGCGTTGTCAGCGAGAGGAGAATCAGCTCGGTTTATTTAGAACTTGGATCCCTCAGTTTGAGCTTTAAGTCAGTGGAAGTGAATCAGAATAAACAGACTATTTAATGCTCATCAGTCTGAACCACTTCAGACTAGCCTAAAGTACTCTTATTACTCATAAGAACACCTCATGATAGTTTTACACTTGGTTCTGTCATTTCCTCTTCCACTTTGCAAGTAAAAGATGGAAACTGTCTGTAGTTTAGATATTGGGATAAACACAAGTGATGTTAAAACAGACTGCGCTATTTTTTAATAAAAATGTGTTTTAAAAGACGTGTAATGTTTAAATACCAACTCAACTATTCATATAGGCAAGTACCCAAACTGAAGTACTTGTCCTATTTTTGAATTGACAAATTAAATGTTTGTAGCGTCCTGGTTTGAAGAAACTAGAGCGGTATGGCTTCCCAACACTCGTAAAAACTTCCCAAAATAACTACACCAATATTATTAAAATCCAAGCAGATACTGTCATCCAGGACACAAACACCTTAAAAAAAATTAACTTGATTTAATTGATATATATATTTATATATATATATATAAACATTATAAAATGAAGATGCAATTCTGAAGCTCCTGTTTAACATCCCATTTATTTTAGTCAAAAATCGTGTCATTTAGGATGAGCTGGAGGCGGCCACTGCAGCACGTCTGGGTTTGGGGGTGGTACCTTCCCGGAAACCATTTCTAAAAAATAAAAAGGGAAAACAAAAACATGATGAAAAGGTTTGTAAGCTCAATCATCCAGGTAGATAAATCACAAAAAAACAACACGATTTAACCTTTTTTTTTTTTGTACAAGCATGATGGTTACAGATAGTTTACAGCATTTTTTCCCTCTTAGGTGAAACTGATGAAGACAAGTAATTTTGTTTGTCAACCACAGCCTGCAGGTGATAAGCCTGGACCCCACAGCGACAGCACAAGGTGTGCGTCTTGTTTCAGCGTTTACCAAAAGATGCCCCCTTTCTAGGTGACAGATCAGAAACAATTCTCAGAAACTTTAGTTTAAACAAACATTGTGGGTGTCTTGTCTCAGAATATAAAATAGAATCACAGAAAGTCAT